AGGGTATTCTTTAGGAAGAGGAAGAAGAAAAAGTAAAGGTAAAAAAAAATATGAACAAAAAAATGACAACAAGTACATATCTATCAACAATTGAATCTAAAAATCAAGTGAATAAAAAAATCTGATTAACAGAATATACTGGTGAATAGAATAGAACCAGGGGCATGGAAATGGAACAGACTGGAAGGGGAGGTGGGAGGTGTGAGAAGAGATTAGACGAAGATCTTATATGCATGTATGCATTACCTATGGACACAGACAATAGAGTGGTGATGCCCTGTGGCGGGATGGGAATCTGGTGAAGGGGAGCTACGGGGGGAAAAAAGAGGAAACTCTGTAATAATCTCAACAATAATGATTAATTTTAAAATAAAAAAAAAAGTCAGCCGGTAGCCATCAGATGCACTTCTCTATTTAGCCTGCAGGTGGTGCTGTGTAAGGGAAATACAACTGTCCAAGTCAGGGGCTCTTGTTAAATTAAGTCCCACTTTTTTCTGCGAAATTTTTCCAAGAAACCAGCTCAACTATTCCTCACTGAATGGTGTAGAAAGCATCACTGTCTGTTGAAGCCCAGCCCAAATGCCTGTTTTCAGATGGAGGAGTACAGGGTGTGGGCATCCGCATCAATGCTATGACCTGGCCTCTGCCAGTTACAAGGAAGGAGGCAGTAGACTTGAGCTCCTGTCTCAGCCTCACTGCCTGGAAGCAGAGAGCAGAGGATAGCCACCTCCCCTTCACTGTTGCCAAATACTTTGTCTTCCAGGTGGAATTTTAGTCTAAACTCCACTCCCCCGGGACCAAGAGGGCCACACATGAGCCAAACCAGTAGGATCCCTCAGGACCAGAGGCAGCAAGAGGAAGATCTCTCTAAGTGCTTCTGGAAAAGCTGAAGGTGGCAGGTGAAGTTCAAAATTAGAGATAAAAGCAGGAAGAATCTGCAAATCAAAGGTGTCAAAGGCAGGTGCTAGAGCAGAATAGAAAGGCAAAATTATAAAAATGCACCAAGCAGCTGTCCAGAATGAGCAGCGTTAGCTCTGGTTAATGGCTCAAAGGTTAATGGCACTTTATTCAATGCTCACTTTAAGGTAGAAGGAGGCAAATTGGATGTAAGCAGCCAAAGACAAGCAGGCATTTACTTCTGCCCATAGTTTCTGGCATAGAGTACGTTCTCAGTATATGTGGATAAATAAAGGATGGTATGAATGGAATCCATAAAGCCTTGCTCAGAGAGTCACATGAATTTAGAAATGCTATTCACTATGACAACCTACTTTATAGACACTCAAATACACAGCAGGGGCAGAAATACACAGAGCCGCCAGCTCTGAAGTAATCCTAGTTTAATCCAGTAAGTATGCATTGAGCACCATGCCAACCAACATGGTATTTACTACAAACACACCGTGGCTCCAAGTCTTATGTACACGTCTGTTTGTTTGATTTTTGTTTGTTCAATTAATAACAAATAAACTAAAAATAGGAAGACACTGAACTAAAAGCCTGACTTTACCTCCCATTCTGTTATTCATCAGAACATTAAGAGTAACCAATGTCCCGGACTGAACAGATTCCTGGAACCAGGGACTTCCAGTTTTAAAATCAAGAGAATCCCAGACAAACTGGGACTGGAAATTGGTTGCCTTATTTCCATGTTACGATTTAATGTCTAGCATTCTCCTCGGCTTAAATGTAGAAACCACATCCAGCTGGGTCTCAACTGTCTTCAACATGGTTCTCACAAGAAAGCACTCAGTCTGCTAACCACGCTGCCTCCAGATGATCGGGGTGTTCAAGCAGCAAGGCCCAGTGACTCCCTGCCAAAGGAGGCTCCCACAATAATAACAGCTGACGTTTAGTGAGCATGTACTATGTGCCAGGCACAGTTCTAAAGCCTTTACTTGAATTATCTCACAAAAAGCTTCTGAGATATTATTATACATTTTACAGATAAGGAAACTGAGGGTCAGAGAGCTTAATTAATTTCCTCAAGATCCCACAACCAGAGCTATTCTTAGAGCGGATCCTTTTCAGATTTACGTCATATCACATTATGCCTCTCCTCAAAATTCTCCAGTGAATTCTCATTTCACCCAGAATAAAATGCAAAGTGCATATAAATGGACAAGACCCTGTGAGACCCCTCCTCCAACCCACTTACTTGTATCTCCTAAAACGGGTTCCCTCATTCCCTGGGCTCCAGCACACTGTCAGCATGTGGTTCCCCCAAAGCTCCTAACAAGCTCCCACCTCAGGGCCTATGCATGTGCTGTTCCCTATGTTTGCATGAGCTCATTCTTTTATTTCCTTTAGGCCTCTGCTCAAATAGTATTTCCCT